TATTATATTAAAATTACATATGAATTTTTCTATTAATTGGCATTACAGCAATATATTCTTTTGAACCTTTTTTGTGTGCTAGTTTATAAGGTCCAGGTACAAATTGGTTCAAAATTTGATGAACTGATATTATACAATCACAACTAATTAGAAAAAAGTCTTTAGTTCTAAGTTCAATATTGTATAATCGCTTTTCAATCTCTCTCTCTAAAATATCTCAAAACAAAGTGCAAAGGACATTTTAAAATCTATTAACCAAGATTCATCCAATTCGGCTACTCAATTATCATCTCCTTCGACCTATAGAACACGTATGACTATTAATTGCTATTGCCAAAAATGTAATAGCAAATTAGTTGATCCTCGTACCAAAAATCGACATTCTCAGTCTCAAACAGGATTTAATGAATTAAGGCAACCAACCCGGATTGCTTCAGAATTAAGTGGCCTGAGTCAACAATCGGTAACAACAATTGATTCAAGGTCAGATAATGAACTTCCATCTGGCCCTGATAATGAACTTCCATCTAGCCTTGATATGGATGACTTATCATTTTTACCAAGAAAACGTCATCAAACATCAACTGCTAAAATGACAGCTTTGAATCCAGAAGAATTGGCTACAACTTCGGGCGATGAAAGTAGTGATAATAATATTATACTGGATTATAATAATAGTGATGATGATGATGGTTCATTATTTGAAGAATTGGCTGAAGAAATTCGATATAGTAATATTAATGAATTTGAAGATTATTCAGTGCCAGATATCGACTATGAAAAAGAATTTCAATCTAACCCTAGAGTATCATCTATTTTTGATGATATATTAATTTGGCTATTAAAATATCAAAGCCAGTTTAAAGTATCTGAAGAGGCTACTGAAGTTTTGGTCAAATATATTCAGCGACTTTTATGTGAGTTTGGTGATGAAAATATATTTCAAAATTTTCTAAGCTCAATGCATAAGCTTCGAAAACATCTAAAAATCGACAACTTTATAACATATTCAGTTTGTCCGAATTGTGACAAATTATATACTGAAGAGGAGGTTGTTAATTCCTGGAATAATAAAGAACAATTGTCAATAAAAAATGTAACCATGTTGAATT